GTACGGACCGCGGCGTTTGGCCGCCTTCCCGGTGGAATTTTTTGATGAAATTTTTATGGAATGTTCTCCATCAAGTCTAGTTTATCCACAAAAAAATTCAGCCAAAAACTCAATCGGGAAGGTCGTCAAATGATTTTTGCAAGTTAACTGGTCCGGAATATGTATTTTCCGGACCAGTTAACTTGCAAAAATCATTTGACGACCTTCCCGATTGAGTTTTTGGCTGAATTTTTTTGTGGATAAACTAGACTTGATGGAGAACATGCCATAAAAATTTCATCAAAAAAAGCCACCGGGAAGGCGGCCAAACGCCGCGGTCCGGACGGCGGTTCCCTGTCCGGACGTCCGGACAGGATCATTACTCTATATTTGTTGATATGTGATGATTTCTTTAGTCATTCAAAATAATAACAAAAAATCAACTACTTGAACTTGGATAAGGCTTAGGAATTTGTTTTGTTTATAACTCAAATAGAACTACATCCAAAGTCATGTGATTGATGGCTTCTTCAATTAATCTCACTTCAACAAAAGCAGACATCTATTTATACAATAAACATTTACAACAACATTTCCTAAAAAGATTGGAAGTAACAAATAATTATAGCAGGACCGAGTGATGACTTACATTTAAAAAACTTTTGTCGCTCAACATTTGTGGAGGTTGTCATAGCGGGACAACAGAGATTGGTGAATTTGTACTGTTATTACAAATCTGGTAATGAGAGTACATTCACATAGGTCACCCCGTGATACTACGTTACCATGGAGTAGATGAAAACCTTCTTGACGCTGCTGTAGACGACTAGCCCCCTGATTACTTGGACCACATCATCGACGGGGAGAGGACCCTTTGGGCCATAGGTATGTTTTAGAAATATAGTTTATATATTGTATGTAATCAACCTTTGTATTTTTAGAATATGTATGAATATGTACTACATGATTTGTAAGATGACTAATTGTTGACCTTTATTGCACATCATCGGCCGTTGGACTGAGATATTATATAGATGCATTTGATTGTATGGCTGACGATCAAGAATGGTTTGCTTCACTTAATATTAACTCTTCATTTGTATATATGGAGAAATATTTATTTTTTTATGTATAACAGATTACATGGATGCCATATACACTTGTGATGTTGGCAGAGTTGCCCCCGCCAGGTCGAGAGCATTTTGATACATGGCGGACACGTGTTCCTTTAATTTGTTTTGACATTGTTTACAATCACTTTCTAGATCATGCAATGCGTTTGGCTATGAGCAGGTTATTCTAGCATTAGTTAACTTATGTGCAGACCTTCACAAGCTTGATAGGCACACAAAGCCTGCAGAGGATTGGTCACTCAAACTTTTTGATACATTTCGATATGGGAGAGGCGAGCGGAGACTTTTGTCATTGGGACTCAAACAATACAACCATCAGTTTCTTAGGATTACATGAGATGGTATTGTACCATCAAACATTTGTCATCTCTCTTTCGTTCAGGCTACCCACTCATCACTATTAGTCTAATTCGGTTGCTCTGGACTTAACAATAAGTGTTCTACTTCATGTTCTGCATTAAATGTTCTATAAACTTAAAGTAATTTTAATTCATGTTGTACATTTCAGACACGAGCTTTGTGGAGTATTTATGAGTGAGCGGACATAAGAGTTAGTGACCCGCATAATGTAGACACATTCCATGAGGTTATGTGCTGATGTGTTGGGTCGAGTTGACTATGGTCATCTTTTACATATGACATCCTCTCACTATTCTACATCATCCTCATCTACACCAACATCATCCCAACCAGTGAGTTGTGACAGAGTCGTTCTTCATCCACATCAGCAACATAGACGTCCTCGCCCACAACCACATCTGCATGACCTCAATGATGATGACCATGAATGAAGAGTTGTTCCTTGGGTTATATTTATGTTATGAACATGATCATGTTTATTTATGTATGTTGACTTTTTATTAGTTTTGTCAATCTTGTGAAACACCTTTCTTATTTATGTATGTCTACCTGCAAAATATGGGATAATATGTTATTAATTAGTTTGTTCTTTTGAGATTATGGGTTGTTGCAACTCATTAAGCGTTGTTGATGGTTTATGTTTTCCTATGTATCAAGATGTTCAATGCGATACAACAAGTTTGTTGGTCTATTTTTGATGATCTGTTTGAGTTTGTGTTTTTTGTTTGTTTTGTGTGCTGGTGCAGTGGCAAAGCTCCCACTCATATTGGCAACATATAAGTCACCACTCAGATTAACCACATCTAAGTCGTCATTTGGTTTGACGGTTTTCATTAACCGTGGTTAGCCACATCAGTATATTCGTAAATATTTTTAACTAGATCCTATTTGCGTAAATATTTTTTTAATCAACATTATTTAAAAAAAAACTCAACCATTTTCATCCTTAAAATAAGTGCAATTCCCATGCTTAGGATGCGATGCTTTAAATTAGACTGGTTGTAGTCTCAGATCAGACTCGACCAAGCTAAATCAGATCAAATCAGACTTGGGTAAATCAAACCAAACAAGACCTCAACAATAAAATATAGGCGAAATTCGCCAAAATAATCCATACTTTTATGGATTCTATATTAATAATCCATACTTAGAGTGTTTATAAATATAATGCGTACTAGCAATAGTGTTAGTACCCCAATTTGTACCTCTATTTCTCATTTAATACCCCCAACCCGTACCTCTGCTTTCCCATTCACCTCTTCATCTCGGGGAAGAGAAAAGTGAGAATAAGGGGTTGGAAGTATTAAACAAGCATTAATTTGAATTCACCCCAATTTATTTTTATTAACACTGTTGCTAGTTCGGATTATTTTTGTGGACACTCTCAGTAGGGATTATTATTGTAGAATCCCTAAAAGTATGAATTATTCTTGTGAATTTTGCATAAAATATATATAGAAGAAACATCTACTGGACATACCAGACAAAACTTATATAGACAAGAACAAATCAGACCAGATTAGAAAATTACAATATAATTAAACACATTGATAATTTTATGATTATGCTCTACAATTAAGCTTTTGAGATCAAATAGATAAGGTTTGTATGATCAAAAGGTACTCTTTTGAACACTTGATGTGTTTAATTAGACTGAAATTTTCTATTTTTGTCTTGTCTGTTTAACTCAGATCTGGTCTGAACTGGTCCAATAGATGTCTGATCTCCGTATATTTTATAAATGTTGAAGTGTGATATGTTTAAAATCCGGTTTGATCTATTCTGATTTGGCCTGATCTGTATTTGAAATCAGTCCAACAACATTACCAACGTAACCTGCCTCATTGAAGTAACTCAATCGTGAAAACTGACCATAGTGCTTATACAAGGTAATTAGGTAAATCACAAACATTTTCCAACTTTCATTTAAATTATAAGCAATAATTTTTTTTATTCATAATATATTGCCAATGTTTTATTGGTAAGCGAGTAAACTAGTTTCTTACTACGTATTTTACATATAAGTGTATAACAAAATTGGAGAAATGAATTTAAATGTCTTAGTTATATATACCAATATCATAATTTCACATTTGATTTTACTCAGATTTGAAACAAAAAATGGGTGTATATATTATTTTACATGACCATTGTTTTCCTTATGTATACAATAAATCACCCAATAATTTTAATGACCATCTAAAGTGATGAGATTAACATATCACACATATATGTTAAATAAGTACATTAAACTAATATAAATGAATTGTCATATATTAAATTAGTGAATATTTAGAACCGATCAATTACTTTTAGATGGAATAAGATGTCAATTAAATTATTAATGATTGTTATTGTTGCGTTGGTTTTGAGCTAAAAGGAATTTTGTGCAAATTATTTAGGCATTGTTTTGTCAATTTTATGGTGTGCCTTTTTTTTAACTAAGTGTTTTGCAACTTTGATGTTTGGCATTACATGTGATAAAAATACTCATCAAATCACATAAATTTATAAATGTTTGCAGCTTTTATTTCAGATTCGGATTCATATTTATGCATAATCTAATGAAAACCACCGATTGCACAGTTGCATGTACTTTATTTGCACAATTTTAAACCTTTTTATCTAGTGTTTGTAAAAGTAGAATGCATTTAACGATATATTCACTATTTAGTAAGCATACCCAAGAAAAAACCATTTACGTAAATGTAATGTGTGCAATTTCCAAGGTTAATAAACTAATATTATTGATTACATTATAAACTACCTTGTGAATCACTGGCATCACTGTAATGCTCATAAAGAGGAGGTCACATGTTTGAATTTCATCTCAATTCAAGGATGTTCGTCTTTAACATATAACATGTATTATAATCGGTTAGAAAGCACAATAAAAATCCTTACACACTCATCCTAAATGATAATTTGCTATTGTCATTAGTTATCATACAAACTTTGGTTTCTATCCTAAATAAATACATAACAAAATAAAATCTATTTTTAAATTTAGATTCTATATATACTTGAGATAAATTTTGAGTGTGTATACGTACATATATATCACCGATATTTTTATTTTCCCATTTTTTACTATGCACAAGTGCATGTGCACATACATATATGTATGTATCATTAGCGAATGAAAGTATAAATTCATCCACACTAAAATTGCATATGAAAGAGAGCAGATAGGTAGGTAGCCCAACCTTTTTACAAATTCAAGAAGTCAAACTATAGAGACACATAAGACAGAGAAATAGATAATCGTGTGTCTTGTTAGAGTTCTAGGGAGAGATAGAGAGGGAGAGAGTTGACCATGTGTGGGGGTGGGGGTTTTGAGGGAGAGGGATAGAAAGAGTTTGACCAGGTGTCTTGTGAGTGACCTACCGACCCAATTTCACACGCTCAACATAGTTTGAATTCTATAATGAATTCATGCAGGATTGATGTTCCATGATCATTTCCTTCATCACTAACCATAACCATTTCAAAGTTTGTATATATAATATTATTTCTACCTTCCATTGTACCACCAAGTACCAAGAAAACCCACCAACAGATTAGATAAAAAAACTCTGAATTTCCTTAATGACTACTACTACTCTCTTTTACTGTTAACCTATTTTATTTGCTCAACTGATATGATATTTCTAACTCCTACTGTATTAATTCATCTTCACCAAACAACCTGAATTTCTCAATCTGCCAAGCCATACAAAAAACATAAACTTACATAAGAATGGGACGAATTCCGTGTTGCGAGAAGGATAATGTGAAGAGAGGGCAATGGACTCCAGAGGAAGATCACAAGCTTTCCTCTTACATTGCTCAACATGGAACGCGAAACTGGCGTCTCATTCCCAAACATGCTGGTTTGATTCTTCCCCTTCTTCTGAATCTTTAGTTATTAACCAACAATTTGTGTAAGAGTAAGGTGATTAACAAGCGGCATTGTCATTTTTACATGTCCTTCAGGTCTCCAGAGGTGTGGAAAGAGCTGCAGGTTAAGGTGGACAAACTACCTCCGACCCGACCTTAAGCACGGCCAATTCTCTGATGCTGAAGAGCACACTATTGTCACACTCCACTCCGTTCTTGGAAATAGGTAACTTTTAAAGACACAATAAAGTAGGAAAGACCATAAAAATGACATAACCTAACAATAGAAAATTCAAGGATATAACTCTAAAGTTTAAACATTATTTAAATCTAGAGAAAATCTTTCTTGTTACTTCATTTTTGGCTGGCAACATATTTTATCATTTTTATCATCAATTTTTTTTTATTATCAATTCTTTGAGAGAGTTGAGTCCACTGTTTGGAACACTATAAAATGTTCTTATTGATTTATATAGGAAAACCATTTCCTACAAAGGTTTTCCTCAATGCTAGAAAGAAAGAAGATAATGAGGAACAACCCCCAGTCCATTTAAAAATATACTCCCTCTAATTAGTATCTCACTTTCTTTTTCAGGTCCTTAAATTACTCATCTCTCCTCCATTTTTTGAAAAGAATCAACTGAAAAAATAGTTACAGTGCACTTTTATAAAATGTACAACACAACTACAGTATTAAATTATCTTATTTTAAGTAACATTTACACACATTTTTTTAAACTACGTGAAATCTCTGCTAGAACATAATTGTTCCAACTTTATTGATTAAATGTCTATAAGCGAATCTTACAAAAAATGTGTATAAGTGAATATTGTTTATTTGGACAATTCCAAAATGAGTACTTGTCTCCCAAAGTATAAAATCTCCAATCCGCCATATCTTTCCTTGGGTACTACACTTACAACTTTCTGCTTTGCCCCTATCATTTCAAGTTCTTCTAACGTATGTTCCTCATTTATTTGTTTGTGCTTGCCAATTCAAGCATGTCCTACATCTCAATTTTAAAATCTAAGCATTAAGTTGAGAGGATATAGATATATAATATGGCGTGGAAGTCAATAAAAGAGCTCCAATTTATAAGTGTAATTACAAAAGTGAAAACCAGACTAAGCAATATGAGAAAGTATATGTAGATAGAAATGTTAGTAAATTTTCTTTCTGAATGCATGTATAAAACAATTTAATGAAAGCATGAAACAACAAATAGATATTCTTAAACCTTGGATACAGATGGTCAGTGATTGCTGCGCAGCTTCCGGGGAGAACAGACAACGATGTGAAGAATCATTGGAATACTAAGCTGAGAAAGAAGCTTTCCGGCATGGGAATCGATCCAGTTACCCACAAGCCATTCTCTCACCTCATTACAGAGATCGCCACGACGCTAGCGCCGCCGCAAGTACCACACTTGGCAGAGGCGGCATTGGGTTGTTTCAAGGATGAAATGTTGCACCTTCTCACTAAAAAGCGCATCGGATTCCAGCTCCACCCGTCGGGTCCCACCGCGCCCGTTAAGCACGAAGACAGAGATGGAACCATTGAGAAGATCAAGTACGGGCTGTCGAGGGCGATCCAGGAACCGCCTGTCTCTGATCCCAAACCTTGGGATCATACAGGTGGCGCAACACCCTCAAATTTACCGGAGACCGGTTGTCTGATGACAACCGATCAACGACATGGGGGATTTCATCAATTTGGTGATCTTCCATGTCTGATGCAGGAAGCAGAGGGTTCTCCGTGGAACCAAAGCATGTGTACCGGGAGCACATGCACATTGGGGGAACAACATGGGAGGCTCCGAGAGAACGTGGTGGACGATGAAAATGGCGAGTGTTCGGGTGGGGAGAAGGGGAGAATTGCTGACACACCGCCACCGGGAAGTTTCCACTCTGACTGTGTGTTGTGGGATATTTCTTCTGAAGATCTCATGGGTCCTATGACTTGAGATTTGAACTCGGTTGGAAAGCAAAGCGGAAACTAACCGAGAAGGGAAACACACCTAACATTAATAACACATTTCAGTGGATGATTCTTGTAACATGCATTGGTTTTTGCATTTCTTCATGATTTCATGTTTTTCAAAAGCACAAGATTTAGAATAATCTAAACTAACTATTATTGATCGTCTAGTTTTATCTCAAATATGCATAACTCTAAAATAATTTGAAATCCCCATGCCGACTTCCTAGATTAATCCCACATTACTGGAAACTTGCTAAGCCTCAAATATTATTGATTGTCATTTTATCTCAAGATTTCGGTTTTTTCAGTTTTTTACCAAAAAAAATTATCATTTGATTTAAAATTGATATAATACTTTGAGGGATCAAATTAAACATATTACACAAAGAATGCAAGCACACTACAAAAAATAAAATAAAAATGAAAATAAATAAATATGTCTTGAATTATATGAGTACGCGAGAGAGAGATAAAAGTATATATTATTATTAATTTACATTGTTTGTGACTAGTTCAAAAAAAGTTCATGAGTATATACGTTCTATGTAATATAGTTGAGATGCATATTTATTATTTCATCAATATGAATTCTTTAAGTTAAATAAAATAAAAATTAATTAAAAATAATAACTAGTAAAAACATATTATCATCATTCAAGTATAGCTACATTATCACTGGCAATGAATGTGTAAATGAATTTATAAATTAAACTAAGCTAAACTAAACATAACACAAACATTATTTCTCTAGCACAAGAAAACCAAAGACTATTAATGATATTAGGATTAGTTGGGAATCGGGATTAATGCTTAACAATTGACAAATAAATTTTATAGTTTAATTAGTTCGGTTTGTTCGGTTCGGTTTTGAAGGGTAATAACCAAAACCGAATCAAACAACTACGTTTCGGTTTTTTACATTCGGTTTCGGTTTGTTAGCGGTTCGGTTTCATTTGGCTACGGTTCGGTATAATTTGATTCGGTTTTCAGTTTTCGGTTTTTCGGACCTAGCCCTATTTAAAATCAATGTATCACAAGTTACACATCCTCAATCTCCATAATTAGACAAACAGTAACAAATTACTTCTCTTTTAATTGCAACATTAGACTTTTTGCATTATTCACATATTCTACTTTGATTATATTTCATTTATTAATGTATTATAAATTAAATTTTTAAAAAATATGGTTAAATTCTTCTCATTCTAAATTTTTGATATATGAATTTTTTAATTTTTTTACTAATAAGGAATGGAGGATATTAATGATCAAACTTGTGTATTGGCAAACGTGAAATGTTGACAGTTGCAATTAAAAAGGAACAAGAAGTACAGTAAACTGGAACCACCAATTTAACAAATTTCTAGCTGATCTTTGTGACACTCTACTGGACTAAGCAAACCGCGCAAGGGGGTGTGGGGGTGGGGTTGGTGTGTGTGCCTAGGAGTGGGGAAAAATACCGAAATTTCGGTATACCGGACTTACCATATCGAAAAATACTGAATTTACCGAAATGGTTGGTATACCGACACTTTCGGTACGGTATATACCATACCGAATTACTTCGGTATGGTATCGATATATATTTTGAAAATAAACGGTATACCGGTATACTGTCATACCGTAATTCCAAGTCAATAATTTCTTTAAAATTATAAAAATAACTAGAAACACAACATTAATTCAAAGATAAATGACTTTATATTCATGTTTCTTGAATTATTTATACTTTTTGTTGGCAAGCGGTGTTTTTTTAATTATATTTATGTTGTTTAAATTATTTTAGCAGAATGTGATTTTATCTTCATATATTATGTGTCGAAAATTCGAAATATCTAAATATATTTATAATATTTTTTGTTTAAAGTTGAATAGAACACCAATAGGTTATCATTGATAATTTACAATTAATTTCATTGATGATTTTAGTATATCATTATTAACACATATTTTCTATATTTTATTTCACATATAATAATTTTTTATGTTAAATCATGATAATTTATCGATACCGTACCTTACCGTACCGAAATTTCGGTATATCGAAACAAAGTATACAGAAATTTCGGTATGGTAACAATATGTATGGTAAAGGTATGAGCTAAAAATTTATGGTATGTGCCTGCTTACCACGCTTTTCTTCTTACCTGCACAGATGAATTCCTAACAGTGAGCAGGAAGAACTGGTCTTCTGTTGGGTTGTCATCCCGTACGAAAAAAGCTAAAGAAATGCAGCAGCTCTTGGCTCTTCGCAATTCTCATCCTCTCGTTAAGGGAGCGATCAAGATACCCTTGTTGCCTGTGCTGGACAGTTCAGCTTGTTTCTCTTTTGTACCCGCAAGAACTAGACTTGTACATGTATCTATGTGTAAGTTCTTAAACATCCTTCTCTTTTATCTTAATAAAATAAAGTAACAATCTTTGCAAAACTAAATTAACAATAATAACACACACACACACACCCCACCGCACCCCCAAACTCCCTTGCGCGGTTTGGTTAGTTCAGTAGAGTGTCACAAAGATCAGCTAGAAATTTGTTAAATTGGTGTTTCCAGTTTATTGTAATTTGTTACTGTTTGTCTAATTTGGGGGATTGAGGATGTGTAACTTGTGAATTATTGATTTTAAATGTAACATCCGGGAGGTGTGTTAAAGCTAACACCCTTTACACTTTTGTTGATATTATCATGCAAATTTATTCAATTTTAGATGTCCAGGTACTGTCTATAATAAGCCTATTGATATGGAAATCCATTGATGTCTATTTAGAGTTGCATATATAACTGTGTTTGTTTAGTCTGTAATGAGATTCAAGGGAGAAGCATCCGAGGTGGCCATCTATTTCTACCTATTGTGAAACAACTGTTCTGTTCTGAAGAGATTTAAATGCGATATTGGTAGGAAGGACTTGTGGTTGTCTTGGACTTTATTTTTTTAAAAATGACACGCCTGTGAGTTGCTTTGACTTTTTTATATAAACAGTTTTTATTATTTTCATTGATTCGTCAATGTGTGGGAAATTGCTTACTGGGAAGTGGTTTCTTAAATTACCCATGTCTTACTTCTATTTGTAGTAATTTCTTAAATTACTTTATTATGTATAGTTGATCTGCATGGACCTTGATTTGCAGCAAAAAGATGGAAACTACCACAGCTGCACTGCAGAAGAGCATCTAATGCTGGCATCGGATTAGCAGGAAGTTATGAAGGATTTAGTGAACCTCCTGGTGATACTTCAGCTAAAGAGTGAGCCATCTTTTGCATTTGATATAATAAATGAATGATTGTCTTCTTCAATACACACACACATATATATTTATATATTTTTATATTAGCACTTTAAATTTAGTGCCACCTACCACAACTAGCTGAGCTTAAGGTGCTGATGATGATAAATGAATAATGTGTTCCACTTAGACTAAAACATTATGTTGTTAGTAATGATAAACAAGTTTTATTTTATATTATCATGAAGAGGTGCTCTTATGATGGAGTAGATATTGTATGCCTCAGTGCCAAACATGTGAAGATTGACGAGTAGCATACAAATCGAAACCACTGACATTATGCAAACTTTGATCCATATTGAAAGTGTGTTCCACCTCAACCAAAAACTTAAGCCGTTTGTATGGATCATCTATTTAGTATTTTATGTTTCTTCTTCATAATCTTTTTAGAATCCTTTGCAATGTCATATGCAACTCCATTATGAATGTTCTGAATGGTACATGCTATAAACCAAAATCAAACTTTCATGATGTGTGTGTGTGTGATTCTGCTAGAAACTTATGTATATTGCCTTTCCTGGATGGTAGTGAACAGCTTCCCGGCCAATTCCCTTATCCTCTGTCTATAGCACTAGTGTTATGTGGATGTGCTATAGTATTTTCATTGATTGCCTTTGTGAAAAGAGGGCCTTCGTTGACCTTAACAGCATTTTCAAAGTCAGGCTTTGCTGCCGCATTCTCACTCATATTTGTTTCTGAAATTGGGGACAAGGTACATATAATTAATCATCTGATAGTATTATTATTATGTTGCAATGCCAATCTTTTATTTAAAGGGACACTTATGTTACTACTTGAATTATGTCCTATACTTTTATCTCAACATTTCTTGTTTTAACACTAATTATGCAGACTTTTTTCATCGCTGCACTATTAGCAATGCAGTACAAAAGACTATTGGTATGACCTCAAATTATCTCGCTCTCTCCTTGATTATGCAGTTTTAGTTTGTTCAAAATTTTCATTTGAGATACTTTGTCTCTCCCATATCCCCTCCCCACACAATTAAGTTCATAAATATAAGATCACCTATTATTAGTAGTAGTAACTAAACTTAAATACTACGTATTTGAACGCTGCATCTTAAAACTTAATGCTTTCTTAGCATGAATCATTGAACTCAATTCAACTGAACATGCTGTTTCTTTTTACCTCATATTTTGTGTTACTTAAGATTATTTATACATAGCCTGTTGTGCACTCAGATTGACATTATGCATTGGAGAGATTACCACAAGTATATATTAGGATCACAAACCATTAGAAACAACAAAATCCTCTTATGTTGCTTATAAGTGTTTAACTTGGTCCAAAAATACTATATTTTCATTTGATAGATGTAAGAATAGTTCTTAAGCTTAAGAAGTGTGGATCAGGTACTGGTGGGATCAATGGGAGCTCTTTCACTTATGACAGTCATATCTGTCATAATAGGAAGGATCTTTCACTCTGTACCTGCTCAGTTTCAAACAAGTAAGTTTCAGACCTTCACATCTTCTGCTCTCTGTACAAATCCACTTGTATTCTTCTTCCTTCAATCAAACTGGTATAACCTAGTCGCCTACTTTCTTATATCTGTAAACCATCTCCCTTTCACTTTGCACACTTTTGAAAGGACAGAGTCACACACACACACACACACACACACACATATATATATATATCCTGGAGTGACACCTTAAAAGTTCTAATTACTTTCCTTTTTCAGCATTGCCTATTGGAGAGTATGCGGCAATAGCACTTTTATTATTCTTCGGCGCCAAGTCTATCAAAGATGCATGGGAACTTCCATCTGAAGAGGTTAAAGGAGGCGATGAATATGCTGAGGCTGAAGTGCTTGTGAAAGAAAAGGTGGGTTGACTATACATGTAATCAAGCACTTAAGTCCTATAGGGTCTGTTTGGATGAAGAATTTAGGATGGGTTTTGTAGGCTTAGTCTTATATCTCGTCGTGATATATAT